GTCAGCCAGGAGAGCCACAGCCACACAGAGAAGAACAACTCCCCACAATGCTGTCCTCGGGCAGGACACGCTCTCGACCTGACTCCGGGTGCCCTCCAAACCCTGCTAGAAAACACAGCGCGCTGCTGGTACTGCCCATGTCGCCAGTCCACGACGTGAGGCAGCACGTACGAGGGAATGTAGTGTGTGTACTGTGGATGTAAGTGTGCACACGTGCGTGTGTGCACAGAGATACGCACATTGCTTTCCGTCAGGTGTCCATCGGCCCCCTTAAAAGTTGCTGTTTCTGGCAGAGGAATGTTTTTTCCTCGGTCATTTTCATCTCATCAAAAAGCACATTTTAGGACCTGCGCTCCCTGGCACGGTGGTCAGAGGACGGTGATGAACCTCGGCACAAGGGATTGGGCCAAGAGAAATGGGGAAAGGGGAGCAGGAAGGGTGTCCTCCATCTCTGCTGCCCAGAACAAGCACTGGCCATTGCAGAGACCCTCGCAGACAGATTTCCTGGAACGTCCCTGTGTACGCAGGAGCCCACATCATGCTCCTTATTTCCCAAGCATTTTTTATTTTGTCTCCTGCCAAATGCATCCACTGCAACCAAGAAATTTGAGAAGCAGGTTTGCATCCATCACCAGCTCTGCTTTTTAAGCAAAAATCTTTCTCTGTTTTGATTTTCTGTAGGTAAACATCTTTTTGTACCTGAGTACAATCAGTATCTGAAGGGAACAGAAAGAGAGGATGAAAATCATCAGTTGTATCAGAACTTGGATAAAAGCTCCTAGGAACTGACAAAAAGGAGGGAGAAAAGCAGCTTCATAGAACCATTTTTTCCCCTGAAACTGACCTTTACTACAAGTTTAGTTGTGCATTGTGTTTAGTAATATCAAGCCTAGCATTCAAGCTTGAGTCTTAAGCTCCCACTGCATGCAAAATATTCCGTTTGCCATATCCACTTTCTAAATGTCTCATGGTCATTTTCAAGATGTGATAAATGTTTTAGTCCCAAGCAAGGTTTCAATTAAAGTATTCAATTTATTAGGCGAATAGAGAGGCAAGCAAACAGCGCTGTGTGCACCGGGAGTCTCTGCTCAACCAAGACGCACCCTGTACAGTTTCCGTCTCCTGGTTATATATGGTCTGTTAATCCTATGGTCTGTTAATACATATTCATATAGAAATATCTGGACTTTCCCATAGATTCTTCTTGTCCCTAACACATAGTCATATAGAAGGTTCTGGACTCCACACGTGCCCTATAGGCTTCTCGTACATAACACCATGTGGTTAGCAACAAAACTGGTTTAAACTGGGATACCAAGGTGTTTGTCAGGCAACTTTGCAAGATACAGAAACTATGTGTATTAACCGCTCTGTTTTCTCTAAGTTTCTGGTTATACAAGGACATGCAAAACAGAAAATCACATCTTATCCTGCTGCCCTAGGATTGACACGAATCAGATGAATATATTTCACAAAGCTTATATCCATAATAGTGTGTTGGGGGGAAAAAACCCTGAAATCAACCTCATTAGTTGAAGAGAAAGCTGGTAGTCGTCCGTAGTGACCATAGCCTCCTGCTCTTGAGCTTTCAGAAGGACATTGAATTTTATGAGAATTGTGATAAAAATTTTGAGTCTTTTCCAAAGCGCCGTTGTTTTTGTGTGGTTGTTCATGGAGGATCCATCTCACCTAACATTAATGACTGCAGTTTTCTGCATCTCGATGACCTAAACTCAGTGGACAGAAATGTGGGTCTCTGTGCATCAAGTCCATATCTATCCCTACAGATGTCTGGAGTCACTGGATTCATGTGAAAGAAATCCTGTTTCTCCCCACGGAGGAGGCTGGGAGGCAGGTCATGAACTCAGAGGCTGGCGTTTGCAGTGCTCCCGTCTAAACAAGGCTTCAGATCACAGCATCACAGAATGTTTGGGGTTGAAAGGGACCTCTGCGGGTCATCCAGTCCAACACCCCTGCCGAAGCAGGGTCACCTACAGCAGGCCGCAGAGGACCTTGTCCAGGCGGG